AAAAACAACTGCTTCATATATACAATTTACCATTTAGCTGAAATATTTTCTTCTATGTACGCCACATTGCAATTATGTGTGAAATAATACTAAAGGCATGCACACTATGTATATACATACATACACACAAGTACGCGTATTATTATCTGTTATGCATTATTGCTCTATATACGAAAATAGTGCAAACTACCTTCACCACTTGCAAACCGGTAAAGTAAGTTCAGGCCACTCTCGTGCTGAGTACTTACGTACTAACATTCGAATTCAACGGATTTACCTACATACTGTACATACCGTGCTTTAGCTTACTTTTAACCAAAGCTCTGCTGCAAAAGAAACTGATAAAACTTAGCGTTTATGTAAACATTCACAGAAGTGAGCATGTAAGATGTATGTGGATATGTAGGTCTCAGGGTGAAATACTAGTTTTGCGTTTAATGGCCTTTTATTGACATCAGAACCATAACTATTTGACGTAAGCATTGCTTGAGCAATTAAAACTGAGCTCGTAATATGGAATACGACACTCTTTTTCTGTAAGGTGAAACATTCTTTTTCTAAGGGGTGCATACCAACCGGCTTTCGTCGCCAACATATCTGGTACCTCTACAATGCAACCAAACCACGACAAAAGTTACGATTATATGTATAAGCGCTCTGATCAAGCTCCCGTCTACATGCAATATAGCCGTAATCTAGGTGGCCGGATGCAGGTATAATTCACGCAATCACGCGGTGGGCGAGCTAATGAGAAGGGCATTCATGCGTGTACATCTCTTAAAGCGATATATTGCCAAGCTTCTTATTCAATTTGTGGTGTGCGACTTGACGGTATTAAAACAATTTTTCTAATTAATTTACTATAATTGACGTATGCTGGTCCCGCACGGATTCGAATCCATGACTATTCGTATAATTAGCACTGTCAACTGCTCGACTAATTCGTGGCCAAAACAAATTTTAAAACGGATCCTCGCCTAAAAACCCTGTATCAGAAATATTAATCAAACCACAAGTAACGTGATTAAAGAGATATGACTTGCATTAGATGCTGAAATATCCAGGCACCTAATCCTTTTAGACCAGTTCTACTCCAGTGTAATAAAATAAAGTAAATGGACCACTGCCATTGTCCAGAACTAAACCCCACATGATATAAGTTTCTTTTGAAACACTAATCTGGTTACCTCGCTGTGGTAGCTTCAGCTTGTCCATAGACCAAAGACCCATACTAAGTGTTTCGCCCAATCGGGAACGTAAAAGGAAATGCAAGATAGACTTGGTATGTCAGAAGTGCTGTTGGTGGCCACCAAGGTGAGAGGTTCCATCAGGGTATTTCCTTAATGGAATTAAGGGAAGTGGGGTGCTGGAATGCTACTTGTGGACTTTTAAGGGAGTCACCAAAAGTCTAGTATTTACGAAAGTCTCAAGTATCTATTATATGTTTAGCAATAGAATCTAGAAATTGTATTATGCAATAATTCCTGTCGAAATTATCCCATTAGGCCAGTTTTTGAACTTGAACGAATAAGGCAATAATTGGTTAGGATTAAGATTCTAAAACTTATTTCTAGGTTTAATTTAAGCAGATCCTATAATTAATATCTTTGGCGGAAAAAAACATATTCCCTCCATTCTAAGCTTTTCTGAACGTCCTTTGTTCTTTTCCATCCAGTGCAAACTTAAAATTCAAGAGGAATGCCAGATTTCGAATAAAGTTAACGAATTAAAATTTCTCTAAATTACTTAAGTGTTTAATAAATAAATTTCACAAGTGTAAAAAATTAAACTTAACTTTTAGCACGAAATATTGCAGCTTTTTTAGTTACTTACCCAGTTTGTTTTCGAATATGTAATGCTCTTCATACCTATATATTTCGAGTAAATATGTTCAGTTATTCGGTACGCCATTTAAATGTAATCACCGGTAAGCGCAATCACTCATGTTTCGATTAACAATTTAAATTTCGGAATAATGACTAATCGTATTTTTACCAGCTAACAATCACGTTTGCACATACATACAAACAGAGCAGCCGGCGACGGACCATCGACCTATTAAAACGCAATATATGCGAGCATTGCATATACATATGTTTGTATATATATTTGTTATATCACTGTTTGGGCTTACCAAAGGGTTAACCATTACTAAATTAACACTAATCAGTGGCCGACTAGTCGAATGTGAAATGCATATTCACAAATTATCATTAAGTCCAATTATATTGTATATACCGTTGGCGCTGATGTAAGCCAATAAGCACGTGAGGAGGAAGACTTGTGCCTGTTGGTGCTATTTGCTTCATATGGCCTCAATTATTATTATAAAAATGAAATGTTAAAAAACTAATCATATATTAAAATATATATATTGAATATGGTACAATAAAATATCATTAAATAGTTTTCACGATGCAGAAATCAAATTGAAAGTAAATTTTGCTCATTTCTATTTATCAGCAAGCAGTTATAGAATACATTAGCTATACTAATAAGCAATCATATTACTAAGCGGTAGTAAATTAATATTAGATCTATTAAAAAATAATAAACAAACATGAAACAAATTATAACATTCATATGTACATGCACATATGTACTCATATGCCTGTAGTCAACTCAATCTGACCAGTTTGCTCTACTTGTCTCCATATCCAACAACACTCCATTAAAACAGTAACAAATTGAAACCAAAAGTGGTTATACTGATACATAAGAAAAATGCTCATATGAACTGCTATATACATATGTGTGCTTTGCAAGCATAAGATTAGCACAAGAGACATTCATAAATTAAATGAGTACAAAAAATTTTTGTGTGGATATAAAACCAGTTTTAAAATGAAATGAACACGCGCCTTACAAATCCTAGGTTAGCCGGCTAACAAAATCTTTATGTGTACATTTGTACATCTATATATGCTTACCAATTTGCAAAATTTATTAATATGAACTCGAATACACAATTCGAGATAAAAATTTCAACAAATACAATATATACATAATAAATCACTTTTACTAGCTCATAAATTCTTTCCAAGCCTAAACTAGCAGAACCATTTCAGGGAGTTAAAATATTTATAACTATTTATAGAAAATTTATTGAATTTGCTTTTAGTTATCACATTTGAAATCTATATAGAAATAAGTAGTTGGGAAAGGAGGTTTGCATCCTTATTGTCTGTTTGCCTGTGCTAAAGTGTACCGATTCTCATGATATGATATGATATGATACGAGACCTAAGCATACCACGTGATAAAGTGATAAAGTCTTTGTTTCTGGCCAGCGGAATATACTTGAAAATTGTCAGTTTTATCATTTGGGAAGAAAGTTTCCGAGAAATGGACCAGGGACCGACTTACTCGAAAAAAATCGTAGTTATGGCTCGATTTACTTGAAATTTTCAACAAAGGCATCTGTTTGATTAGGAGGAACACTGATTTTTCTTCTGGGTAGTAGACCAGACCGATCTATTCGAATAATTCTAATTTCGTTTTTTTTTTAATTACAATAGAAAGAGAGAATTCGAATTTATTAAGAAAAGGTAACCAAAAAAATTGTTTTTTTTTTTATTTGAAATTAATATTATTTTCAAACCTCTTTATTTAAAGCATTACCGTTTTTAGAATGGGATGCTTTTCAAGGACCCATTGACTTATAGTTCATATGCGATCGACATTGACAAAAGAATTTTATTTTCTTCCCTTCAGTTATCCCATCCACTAACTTCCATTGCTACTAAGGACATTCTCCACATATTTTCCTTCGCCTGGAAGGTACTGCCATGTTTCTGTAGATTGAAGATCGAAGTCAGCGCCTAGCTGCTCGCAACGATATATATTTGAGCATTACCCCTGTAGATACCAGTTTCTCAAGATCTTCATACTCAGGCATTTCGGCGTATTGCTTTTCTATTTGCAGTTGCGTCATCCCGCACATGTAGTGGCTGATGGCAATGTTGCGAGGTAGGCAACCTGCTTTCTTTCTACTGCGACACTGCAGTCCTCATCGTATCCAGAATTTTGCGATCTTTCCGAAACCAACTGTTTCCGTAGGTGCTGTACGTAGGGAGCTTGCTGATGAGCGCTCTCAAAGAGCAGGAGTGCAAGTCGAGTAGGAAACCGTGCGTTGGTCTGTTGTGATTGCATCTTTTCTTTTCTTTTCGACCTCGAACCTTCCTTCGGCCTGTGGACGAGCATTCTTTCATACACAGAAGTCCGAGTTGATGTTTACTCACGTCAAGAACACGGAAGACATGTCTTTCGTCTATCACAACATGATCGATCTGGCTTTGAATTTTTCGATCATGCGGGGTAAATTATTATAACTTAAAAATATTTTGCATTTAATTCAATTTCTATAATGAGCTTTCAACAGTATTCCCCACCAATTATAAACAAATAGTTAAAATAAAGTAAACTAAGTTAAGTTTCGCTTTTATAAAAAACAACCCTGGGATCATATCTTATGTGGTATTATTAGTTTTACCTTTTTTTCTTGTGACTTAATCTTATCTCTTGCAGTATCAATGCCTTCGAGCAGAGTGTTTGAGCAACTGCAGATCTAAGAAAAACATAAACAGAAATTAAAACAAACAAGTAAATATATTGCACATGCGCAAAAACCAAAACCAATGCAAAGCCGCTGCTGCATGACCAGTTAAGAGAGAGAGAGAGAGAAACAGAGAGACTTGGAGCTTAATAACAAAGCTTAGAGAAAAAGCTGCGAGCTGTAAGTAAGCATTTTGCTGACTACAAAACAAAGTATTTTCATAACACGTACCAGCTGCATAGCTGTAATGTGGTTTGACGCCTGCGCATGCGCAATTCCAATGAAATGAAACGACTGAGTAAATAAATGTTTGCTCATTTGAGACTTTTTATGTCAGCAACTTCCAGTGGCAGTGCTGTTGGTAGGCAATAAGCTGCAACAAGTAAATACGGTTTTGATAATTTTTCGATTAAACCAAATGGCAGTTAGCCAATCGTTAGCCAATTTAGTCTGCGTTTGAGCAGCACTGCGAACGGTATAACAAAATATTTTAAACGCGTTGGGAGTGTTACTATACAAGTGGATTGCAAAATAAGGAAAAAAGTAAATTTATGTAATTTTTTTTTTTCAATTCCAAGTGTATGTGTTTGAAGTTCATAGTAGAAAATAATATAAAATACATATGCTATGCTTTATAGTTAAAATTTGTTGAAAAAAAAAATATAAAATAATTTTAATGTTAAATGTGGTAGACGAACTACGTATTTCCAGTGACCGGATTTTCTTTTAAATATTTTTATTTTCTTATATTTTTGAGTGTTTTGCCATAATGGTTGCGTTTGCGCCGTGTCAAAATGCCAAGTGTTTTTTTTTTTAATATATTAACATCAAGTCTGCGTAAAATTTATTTAAAAGAAAAAAATTTAAGAGTCAAATTTCCAAAAAAGAAAAAAACAATAATAACAATAAAAAATATAATACATATAGTGAAAAGTAATTGAAAAGAAAAATACCAACAAAAAACGCAAAGTGTTGCATTTTTCCATTTCTGTGTATTTGTGTGCGTGTTTCTTTTGCTTTTTTACTTACAGCAGCAGTGTAACATGCAACAAGAAAAATGTCTAGTTTCGCACACACATACACTCACACACAAAAATTAAGCCTCTACTAAACACGCCTGCATATACACGTACTGAGTATGAATACGCTCCTCACATTCATACTGATTGAGACAAAGGCCCGCGGTGCATTTGTATTATTTTATACAATTTCTGCAGTTTGCATGCGAACACTACATGCTTTACCTTTGCTGTGCTTTTTCTTCTTTTACCAACTCTCTTCATTCGTTTTCTTATGCTATTTCTGCGCTAAACTCTCATTTTTCGCTACGAAATGCATACCAAATTTATACTTACAAAACTTACAGCAAATGAGGCATATTTACGTATAAACTTAAGGTATACACTCTATAAAAGTACCGTAAAACTGTTTAATTTATATTAAAATTTCTTATTTTTCTGCAATCAAAAACTCACTTTATGCCTTATAACCATTAAGATTTCCCAAAAAAATCGGCACAAAAAAGCTAGATAAATACAAAAAAATTCTGCGGAAAACCGTTGCATTAAAAGCACACACAAAATACCAATAACAAATACATAAATATATATGTGATTTATATATGAAACGTTTAACTATCGATAATCAACAACAACAACAACAGGAAGAGTTTTACATATAAATAAAGGCAAAACAAAACCACCTTCAAGTAAATACAAGCCGCAACAACAATAAGCAACAGAAGACTTCAGCAACAAACTTGGAATTGAAACATAGTCTTCATCATTCCACACTACTCGCTGTCATTTTGTTATAATTACAAGTAAGTTTTAAAATCAAAAGTTTTTGCATTAAAACCTATAGCGTATAATACGGATGAATGAAAAAAGCACAAAAGGAAGAAAACAAATATCTACCATTAAAGCGAATTGCGAAAAAATCCAAATGACACAATAGACACATTTGTATTCCTCGCTACATTTGCACCCTTCATTGCCGCATAGGCCTTCGTTTATACTCTTTCTTCTTCTTCTTCTTCTTTCTCACTTGCTGAGGAAAATGCAAATTATTTACCTGTAATGCCTGCATGTATGTACGTATGTATGTACATATTTACTACACTACAATGCTGTGGCACTTGTGGTTGCAATATATTTGCGCAATAAGTAATATTGTACAATAGCTGAAGAATATAAAAATCACACGCATTATATGTATATGTACATATATATGTATATTTAAGCATTTATGCTTGTACAATACTTGCAAAATAATTACATGTAATGTAATATAAATAAAAACAAAGGCATTTACAAATTTCAGACTAGCATCTCCATTAAGGGCAACAAACACACGCACACATTTGAAAGATTTCAAAGTATTTAAGGTATTGCTAATTACGCCCCATTGTGTTGCATGAACAGCCCACAAAAGTCTTGTTTCAGCCTTTAACAATGAAGAAATACCGATGTGTATGTATGTGTATATCGCGGCCGCCGGGTAACTGGGTGGTTAGCCTTGCGTACTGGCATTCGGAAGGCTCGGGTTCAAATCCTAGTGTTGTAATAACATCCAAAAAATAATGGAAAAATTGTATAAATAAAAAATTAAGCTAAGTTTTCTAATTGCAGTCGCCCCCCTCGGCACTGAGTATATTTCTGAAATGAAATAAAGCTCCTCATAAGAAAACCAACAGCTGTTCGGAGGCGGCTTAGTAAAAATTGTAGGTCCCTTCATTTGTTGGAAAAACCTCAAAACGCAAAACCAAAAAGTGGAAGAGGAGATCGCTCGAAAGTCGCTTTAGAAGAGTTGACTAGCTGCCTTCTGCAATTTTAGAAATAAAATGAAATACTAAATAAAATAAAATATAATAAAACAAATTCAAATACAATAAAGTAAGACAAAATAAATAAAAACGTACAAATACATACATAAAATGAATAAAATGAACTCAATGCAACAAAACCAAAAACAAAATTAAAAACTTAAATAATAATAAGATAAAATTAATTGTTGAACTTTATACTAAATCATAGCAAGTCTGTCAGAAGTCCTATTAATCTATCGAATAGAAAATGTCCTGTAAGAAAAGCCATAATTGTGTTAAGTTTCTATCTAGGGAGCGTGAAAGCTCCTATTTCCCTTATAGTAAGTTTCCGGCTGGAAAGAGAACCAAAGTCGTAGGCAGTGACCTCACAATGTTACTTCATCTCAGAGGAAGCTACATAGCCAGCGCGTCTTTTGGTTTGTTATAATTCCCTTTGTGATTTATTTTATTTATTTTAGGGCTTTCCGACGATCTCACAAAACAGATATGCCATTTCTTGAAAACACAAAAAAACCCCATACCATTGACGGCCTGATAAATGAGTTAAGAGAATGAAGCCAACAAAAATGTTATAACAACAAATCGAATTTCTGCCCTTTGCGAGTGTACGCTGTTTGTAGACTAGAACTATAATCTAGAGTTTTTGTCTCACCGGTGTCCACCGGGGTTTCAAGTTGACTTAAATGGTGTTAAAATTATTTACAGATACAAATCTAATTAATGGTTTATTCAAAACTTTGCAACCTTCTTGCAGAACCGCACATATGAACCCTATATATTTCTATATATTGAACCATTGAAGTGCGAAGTTTTCAAAAAAAAAAAATACATATAAAAAATTTGAAAAACAACGAGAAGCACGTCATCATTACAGTTATAAAAATCGCTAGTGCTTGTGGCAGCAATAAAAGCAACACCAGCAACCAAAATTGCACTAACAAACGCCTCAATGTATAATATAAAATTACCACTTAAGCCACTTTCGGCTCCGCCTGCTTCGATGCGCAACAAGAAATTGTAACAAATTTTCGCCAATTTTACTTTCAATTGCACCTCGCTTTCCTTCTCACTTTTATTTGGTGTTTTTCTTTTACTTGTTTGATTAAACGGACGAGTGTAAGACTAGACAAGCAGACGAGAAAACCAAAACACCTATACATATACATAAATAAATAAATAACAAATACATAAATCATTTCTTTTTTTTTACTTTTCCTTTGCACCGGAGTAGAGCTTTACACCTTTTGTGAACTTTTCGTATTGTTGTTTTTAATTTATACGTCCCCTTTTAATTAAATTCGCATTGTAAAAAAAACATTTAATTTTGTATGCTTTTCATAATTTGATGCACGATTGCGTAAAGGCGTGTTTGTGCCTTTTTGTTGATTTTTTTTTTCTACATACATATATATGTACATTGTACGGTGCCAATTGCAATTATAAAAATTTAATTGAGTTGTTAAATAATTGTATCCCTTAAAGCAATCGATACATAGGTTGTGTTTGAAGGAAAATTTAGTGCCAATATGTACGTAACCAAATGTATGCATGTATGTTTGTGCTAAAGTGATAAATAAATATTTGTTCAATTTAATTATGTGTTTCTCCAAATAAATTTCATAATATTTATTTCTTTGAACTTACCATATCTTCCTTATTTGCATGTAAAACCAATTGACAGAAATAAAAACTCGAAAATATATATGTGTTATTTATTCAAAGCCGCATATACTTCATAGAGAATCACTTTGGTCAAATGAACCGATTTATATTTATAATCTCAAAATTAAAGATGCGCTCAATTATTTCTAATTGCGGTTTCCCATCAGCAGTCAACTTTTCCAAGTATATTTCGGACGTAAATTAAAAGCTCCTCATAGACCGTATGTCCCTCCGTTCGTTGGGAAAACAAAACATAAACAAACTGTTCCTTAAAAGATCGCTGCTCCCTTTGCTTTGAAGCACGTAGCGCCATCTTGTTGCTATCCCCATCCGTGCCTAAAGAAGGCAATGTGATGAAATTTTAGTGATTTTTAACAACAGCAGTGCCTTGTTGAAGCTGGTATCATTCCATTTTCATTACTGGCATTATTATTATTTGTTAAATGTCAAAAAATTACAGCTTCAAAAGTGACATCTACCGGAATGGCAGAATATTCAAAATAACATCTCTTATTGGCTCAGCGAAGTAGGAAACAGCGGCTACGCTGGCGAGATGCTCCTTATGGATAAGAATATTCCCGCTTTTAATATTTTCTTTGCGGTAGGAAGGAAGACCTTTCGAAGGAAGGCAGACCGTTCGAAAGACCCCGGGTGGAGAAGAATCGTGTATTTACAATTGATGCCAAACACCGAAAAGATGGAATGAATAGCACGCAGTTAAAGCAAATTTAATAAATCAAAATGATTTATTGAAAGACAATTTCGAGCAACAATGAATTATAGAATTTTTCCTCAATAACGCCCCCAAGATAATCCTCACAACCAGAGCTCGACAATCGAAAAAGGTCATTCGCACAAGATTTTAATAATTACAATAAAAAACTGAAAAGTTGGAATATTTTATATGATTATATTTTATTTTTATGATTTGCATAATTTGTTTACGCTTACTTGCCTATTTTTACAAAAACTCTCGATTTCATTTCGAAGCTGCTTGCAATACGCCGGATACTCGCTTATCTAAAAACATATGGAAAAAACAAGAAATAAAAGAACTAAACTTGTTAATATGATTTTCTGTTTAGCATTAAAATTAATACAACAAAAAATTATATCTATGAAAACCAGTAGGTGCCAGTCTACAAGCAGAGTCATCTGCAATTGAAGCATTCTGTTTGAAAGAGAAACAAAAACAAATATTCCAAAGCAACCAGTTTAGTAGTCAAATACTGGCTACTTGGCAAAATAAGAAGAAAAATAACTAGTTGTTGCCGCTGACAACACCATACTGCGAGCGCTCTGTACACCAAGCTTCCTCTTCCCATAGCAAAATCGTCACTTCTTTCTGCGATTTAAGGCGTTTCACGTTTAACGTGTCATAACTAATTAGCATCTTTTACCATCTTTATTACCACATAAGATAGGCGAAAAAACATGTTTGAAATGAGCAATATTCATTTATTTTCTGCTTCTTGCTGTCATCTATCGGACGACATTTAGTACCACTGCTATAAAGCGTGTATCTGATTTCAAGGTCGTCATCGACAACCGTTGACAATTTATAACTATGGCTTGCTTGGGTGCTTTTTATTTTTATTTTGATTTTCGATTTTTACTTTTTTCTTGAAGCTACACACATTTATTGGCCCTGAGTGTTGAAAATGCGTGGAACGGTTTGTCTGCTTCCCATCGATCATGCAATGCAAATAATTCTATGAATCTTTGGTATACCGGTTTCACTTTTACTTTGTACAATACATATGCTTTTCGCTGTTTCATTTTGCTAAATCAGGTGGAACAGTTAAATAAATAAATTTAATTTTTTTTGAGTGTGTTTTGAAGGACATTATCGCAAAACTACATTGTGATAATGAATTTTCTGTTATTTGTGATTTTGGATAACTTTTTCAAATATTAAAAATAGTTAAACTGACATTTCTTTTTGTCCCCGTTTACAATCAGACCCTTACGCTCTTCACTATCCAGTTTGGAGAAATCAGGACCCATGGCGTGGTTGCCAAGGCCAATTACGTCAACATCGGTTCTGCAGCACTAAATTAAAGAAGTAACACGATTTGGAAATACAATTGAATGATTTTACCAAAATTATATAAATTTGGATCGCAGGAAGCTGACATGACTCTTCGCTCTGAGAAAAAAACGAATATTAATCACCGTTATTTAGGTTTCATTATCGTTAGCCATCGAATTGCTGACCTAGCGAAGCTTAACAGCTCGATGGCGAATTTATGTCAATTTTGTTGCCAATGACCCAAACAATCCATTTCTCATGGATGTTGCCTAGGACTTGACGCCTAGTGGTTATCTGATCA